TTCTTGAACAGATCTTGTAACTGCTATTGCCATATTTTTGGCTTGTTAATGCAACCGAGCAATATCCATTATTTGGCTGCTCAACGGGGGATGTAGGCGTTAGATCCGGTCGCCGAACCTCCAGGGCTTAGGCCAAAACATATCTTGTGTTCATTTTAGATTTCTGCAACTTTTACTTTTTGTATTGGTTGATTCTTTGTATCTTGGTTTAATATTTTTTGTGGCTTGGGCCTTTTCAAAAAGAAACATTCCACCAGCCTATCCCTTGCAAGGGACAACTTCTCGGCAAGGCACGTTCCCTTCCACCACCTGTTCATGGAAAACGCAGAAGGAAATAAGCAAAAACATTTGTAACGTCTAGACATCAAAATTCAAGATATTTGGCCCACGCATTTAAAATGAAAAAAGAGATAGAAATGTACGAATTTATTATTGTAGGAATTTATACACATTTTCTCCCATTGTAATAAAAGTTAGTAGTCGTAAAGTGAAAGGCAAATTTGTTAAGAAGAGACTGTTTGCCTCCATCAAATTCCCTATTGAGTTGTCTCTGATTGAAGACAAGTAGTCATGTCAATTTGTCTTTGAGTGAATAGAGCATCTTATCAATTAATACCTGCTGATATTTTGCTTGAACAATGTTGAAATCCAATTCAGCATGCTCAAGCAGAACTGGATTCATGTTTGGCCTGTCCTTGTATACGTTTATGAATCATCTTGCCTCTGCTCGTGGTATAGTCCAGTGCAGCGGAAGCTTCCAGCCATGGTGCACCCATCGAGAATGGAACTGATCGATACTAGTTTGATCATTAAGGAGTTTCATAGTGAATTATGTTGCCATTTCTAGGGTACTTTCACCTTCTATTGAAAGGAATGAAGTTTCATGTAGTTATAGCAATCCCTCTATATCATCACAAAGCCTCGACTTGAACTCACCCTTCTCATTCTTGAAACTATCAAATATCTCTGTGTTCAACATGACATGTGTAAGACACTTGTAAGCACGAAAATTGAATAAAAATGAACGGAAGAAACTGATTTGCACCTTCAGAGACATTAAAGCCATGTTGTCTTAGTAGTCTGAATTCCAGAGCTGGAGCATATAAATCCTTAATATTTGAATCTTGATCATTTTTACTATATTTTATGTTAATCACAGAGAAGATTCGCTTAATTTCATTCTCAAAATGGTAGGATATCCCCAGCCCTCGCAAATTATCAATGAATTCAGCATAATCTTCACTTGCATTTTCAGCTTCGAAGCCAGCTTCACGTATCTCTTGCCCTAGATTATGCATAAACAAAATCTGATTGCAAAAAAAAAGAGAGAATTATTTTATGTAAATGATGATAAGTACCGTGTATTCACTATTTAAGAACTGAATATAATCGAATTCCCATATAGGGGGCTTGTAGTTTCCTGATCGCCTAATCACGGTCTGATTGCAAGGCTTAGTGGCAAGAACTCGATATTGAATGGCATTAGAAGCAAGGCTATCAGTAGTTTACCTAAAGCAAATCGGATCCCCATTTTGAAATCTCTGCTTTGAATGAGCAAACAGAAACTGGCCCCAGAATTTGCATAATAGGCATTGAAGTGAGATTTCTTAGAACAAGACTGTACTCCGTGCAACTCTATACGGTTGATATGTGATTATATAAGAGCGGGAATGATCTAATGAGAACATACACTCATCTTATGCTAAGCACCAGTGGCGTGTCATATAAGTTCGTTGGTAGATTTTAAACATAATTCAATGTTGACGTCCACCATAAGTTTATCCACCAATATATTTTTATAATACATAATCGATGCTTAACATTATTTTTAACATGTGGCCTTTATATGGGCAACNACACGAGTCACAACTTTTCAACCACATATTTTATCAAATTTTATCAAAATTCACTAAAAATTTGACTTAATCCTCACCAAACATGGGTATAATAAGAATTAGAATGAAAAATTATTATTGTCATCACTCACACCATATCGCTCAGTCTAATCAAAATCCCACCACATATTCCCCAAGCCTTCACCGGGATTCTTCATGGCTATCTACAAATTGGGATGTAGAAAATATTCAAATAAACAAATTATTTATTCAAATTCAATTCCTTTTTTACTTGGAAAAATAGAATGTCACCTCGTGGCGCTTTAGTATTTGAATAATGCTACTTGTACATAAGCAATTAAATAATGATTTACATACATATGAAATGTCAAAAAGAGAGTCAGAAAGTTGATTGAATAAATTCCGACCCAATCATATCTGACTATATCATATATATGTAAATTATTATATAAACCTATTATATACATGTAACACAACCGTTAGTATTTTCACACGGAATAATAAAAAGTCGCCTTGTTAGATTTTGAATGAATTAAACTAGTTGTACATTCTTAGTATAAATTATGGATGACATTCTATGATGTGTAAAAATTTGTGCCATTGATTTCAATAAGCATTGTTAAAATTAATGGCCAAAGTGCTGCCACATCAGAGAATGTTATTCATGATGTCAAACTTAGTGTGCATCATCAAAATTGGGTTTAGAATTGGCACCAACAACAGGAAGAAAGTTGATATTTGCTGGAAAGAAGAAAATTAAGGACGGACAGGAGACCAAGGCTGCCAGTAGATTGGAAGTAATGCTTTCAATAGTACACGGTGCACATCTCTTAGGTTTTCAACATTTTCAACCACAAAAATCAATGAACCAGAACTCACTGCATAGATAAGAAGTTGGTGAGTTAGATTGATTCTGAATCCACAATAAAGTACATACTTTTCTTTATAAAAACACAATAAGTTACGTGCTTTGAATGACGGAGAACCAACACTTGAGTGATTCACTTCTCATTTGCTCGTTATTAAACTAACAAATAGATGGAGATACATTTTAATTTGTTTATTTTTATTTTGTCATTTAATTAAATACTTTTAGTTAGGAGTTATTTTGTCATTTTTAGTTGTTAGGATTTGTTTCTTTTTAAACTCTTTCAAGAGCATGTTGTTTTCTTTTTTGTTTCTTATGATCTAAATAAAATTGGAGACTTCTCCCAACTGATCAAATATTGAATTTGACTAAATTAATTCTTATTCAATTCAATTCAATACACCAAATAAAATCATATTGTCTAGTCTTATCTAGTACGCATACTAAACATGTTCTTGATCCATTTTCAATGTCAAGAAAAGAAAAGCATCTTCTATGTGAGGTTCTCGAAATGTGTTTCTTCAACATACTTACTTTCGTTTAAAAGTTACTTTATAAGTAGGTGAAATAACGAGGTTCGACCCAAACTGCACCTAGAGGAAGGTGAATAGGTGATTATGCAGAATTTAAAACTTAATAATTAATTAGCAACAAGTCACTATTAATTATATCTAGATGGTTAATCAAACAGTTCAATATTTCCTATGTTGAAATACCGCAGTAATGAAAGCAATAAACAAACACAAAAAATGATCACGGAGAAACTCCAACTGGGTAAAAACTCAAGGCACTTTGCAGTCAGAAATCCACTATAAACGAATTATGAACTTACAATTCGACAGACACGACTACCACTAGTACTTTTTGACCTCATAACTATAATTTCCACAAATCTTCTAGATTACGTGCCTCTACACCAACTCCCAACTGTAGTTTTCAAAGTCCTCCTAGATTGTGCGCTCCTGCAGCAACTTCCGACTTTATGAATTTGTCTATCTCTTGTGGATCAACGAAGAACTCACGTTTTTTAACAATTGGAACTACATTCACCTTCCCTTGATCTTCAGAACTCTGACAGATGTATAGGAAGTATCAGTTTGGTATTTGGATTATGGATTTGAGGTTTTCACCATTAAGAACAAATCATAGTATGAAGGTTGAAAGCTTATGAAGAAGAGGATATGGAGAGTATGTGTTTTTCGCAATGTTCAACTTTGTAAAAACTGTTCAAAGGCATTTGGTATTTATAGTTTAGGTTTCGGAATGAATGGGCGGATAAAAAGCCTTAAAAATGAATTAAAAATTCTCTGGATAACCCTATTGCTCAACCGAAAGCTGGGCGACGGTGAGCGACAGCGTGTCGCTCGAGCAAATGTAAGGCGACAGGCGGGCGACAGTGTTTCTCTTTTTGCCGCTTGAGCAAAGTCATAGCGATAGTCTGGCGAAATTGCGGCCCTGTTTATCCTTCTTTTCCATTCTTGAACCCTAGAACTAAGACAACTCAATTTTTGATATTTACAACTTACTCCTTAACTTCTACAACATATTAAACTTAGTCCCTTTTGTTCACAAACTTGTCAATTACATCAAAAACCTAACAGGCTCTCCTTTTGGCATTCTAAAACTACAATCTAAAGTCAAGGTAGTAGTGAAAAAGAATTACAGACTCAATGACTGACACAACCAACACTAACTGTCTCGATGGAATTCTGTTTTTCCTTTATCAAAACCTGTTTCTTGAAATAGACAACTCAAATACCCAGTGTAAAACGTATGTGAAACAATACTAAGTTTAAAAGTAATTCAGGCAGTTATAACTCATAACACATCATTTTAGTTTCATATCATAAACTAAATTAAGAAGTAATATCAATGCAACCCAACATANGCAACCCAACATACCAAAACGAAATATTGATACTACAAAACATTAAAACTTAATCTAGCAATATTGAAATTATCATTGAATCAAAAGTTTTAGATACATCATGTCAAGTCAAAATAATTATATACGTCCAAAAATTTCTATTAATAAACATCAAAAATATACTATAACTCCCCATTTTTGTCACAAAATGACGAGTAGCAAACTTGAAACTAAGAGGCATCATCAGCATCATCAGTATTAGACCCATCATCAGAAGCTGTACCATCATCCCAATGTTGACGAATCCATCGCAGCTCTCGCTGAAGATATCCAACAGCACCACGAAGCGTAGCAAACTCGGTAGTGTGGCGATCAACGGTAGCTCTCAGTTGTGTAATCTCTGCCATCATACGAGTCTGCTGCTCGATCAGCACGATCATCTGCCCCATAAGTACAACGGACGGGTCAATGGAAACAGACGCAGATGGTAGTGTTAGCCTAAGAATAACTAACCAAGAGGGGGGTAAATTGGTTATTAAAACTTTTTCAATAATCACTCAAGATTTTAATAAGTGCAAATGATAGAGAATAGTCTAAACACAAGTAAACACGTAAATGGAACAAAATAAATTTGCGCGAAGTACA